TATGTTCATAATACCATGGGGCAGTGAACTGTTAGACCTGTCTCCTAGGCAAATATAAACTGGTTGACAGCGCGATAATGCCATTTAGGACCAGCAAATGTTACACATTTGTCTTTTGTAATTCAGGTAGGTTCAAGGCGAATGATTACTCATCACGCTCATATGTCATATCTACCCAAATATGAGCACGTAATACCGCATGCGATGACATGCGTCATAGTTAACGTAGAATCCTAAAAGTACGTGGTATGTTAGAAACGCGGAAAGTACTACATACAGTGGGTCAGAATATTTTGGCAACTTTTAAAGTTAATTGCTTGTGGGAAGAAAATCAGTCCGTACGCTGTAATAGGAATCCGACGTTTCAGATACTACCATCATCGTTCATCATTTAGTTGATAAAATCGGCTAGCAGAGAGGCATCATTTCAGCATATATGATTAAAAAATTGAAACTATAGAATTTTTACTTAACGCGCCTACGTTGCCAAAGATTTGGCCTCCTTTACTGCGTGGTTTCACTACGAACGAAGCTCTTGACTGAAAAAATAGTAAAGCTTACTGCACAACTGAAAATAGACGCTGATGAACATGATATCGGCAAATTATCAAATAAATTCATTGAATATAAGCAGCAAAAGCGGCTGAAACTGACCTTTCGACCCCAAAAGAAGAACCGAAGCCGAAACCTTTCGTGACAAAAGAAATGACAATCGCGTTCTGGGAGATTTCAACAGGACTGGCAAGATTTCAAAAAATCTGATCTTAATGCGTCGCGGTTGTTGAAAGTCAGCGGAGCATTAGGAAACTCTTTGGCCCTTTGTCGAGTGATCTAGAAGGAGAAGAAAGACACCGTTTCTCAGTCATCTATTAATAACTTCATAAGGAAAGTGGTACAGTGAACGAATTAAAGATTTTGCATTTTTTTAGTTTTTATGTAACAGTACTGTATTGTTTTACTTTACGCTAATACCTATATTTTTAAGTTTTATGTGAATGCATTAAACATAAATAACCGTTAAAACATGTCAGTGTTCTGTCGTAAAGACTTCAACAATTGTGTGTGATGAGTGGGTGTGGGTCGGTTTAATCTCACTTACGTAAAACTAGTGTTTTGTGATGCAACTCTTACGTATTTCTGGATTATTTTGCAAAAGATGGAATACCCTAAATAGATAACGACATCACGGTATTAGAAAAAAAGATAGACCGGGAGCGCGGCCATATATATTTAGAGTAAATTTGCATTGAATCAATTTATTACCGCCTAATCTTATGAATCAGTAGATAAATATTTTTATCAGTTGTATTAGCAGTTCTACGTTGTTAATAGCTATGTATGCAATCAGTGATCGAGAACTCTGCTTTATTGAATCCATTCTGATTGTCTGAGGAACGGATGGGGAATTTCGAATGAATGGTATGGGTGGTGATGGTTGCCCTGAAACTACAAGTCCTCAATTGGGACATCAACAGTAGGATTATCTTCAACATAAAAATTGTTTTGTATGAACCATGGATAGATTGCTAAATGAAATTGGTGAAATGAATGCTTGACCTTTAGCAGGGTAATAGTCACTCCTACTGGCTAGAATAGACTCCACCGTGGTTTCACAATGGAGCTTCTAAGGATTCTCTGCGAACGGCAAATTTCCAGTCATATGCGAGGTAATAAAGAAACGATAAGTGAAAACTGTCCTTCTACGTAATAGAATAACTTTAATTAGGCAGGTGACAAGTGATTTTTGCCATTTAATTTCGTTCCTCTTTTACATCTTCGATTTAATTTCAAGTCATTCATGCAATTTTCTTAACACACTAATCAGACCTATTTAGCGAAATTCTTCAAATAGATTTTTCAGGCAAATGAATGGTCGAATTCATGTGATACCAAAGGTATAAACTGACAGTCGCTTCAAATTTGCTAATGACTTTATAATAATTAAAACTTCATGCAATTCTTCATGGACAGGCGCTTTCAAAGCATGGTTGTAATTGCAGGTGTTGACAACTGTCAAACGGGAAAGAAGGAATGTGATCCAAACGCCAGCTGTATCAATTTGAGTACCGGTTTCACGTGCCAGTGTAACCCCGGCTACAAAGATGTATCGGTTGATGCAGTGCTGAAGCCGGGACGAAAGTGTTCCCAATGTACGGGCTTGCTGTGTATCTGTTCAACAGTTTCATTGGCACTTTTCAGTAATCAACGAATGTGACATAAAATGGATGAACGACTGCTCTCCCTTCGCTACGTGTGTAGATACCGAAGAAGGCCATTACTGTCAGTGCCAAAGCGACTACATCGACGTATCCTCACGGTACAACATGAAGCCGGGTAGAAAGTGTGTCACCTGTAAGTTTTGTACATAATGTTCTCAAGTATATGCATGACATGTCTTGCTTTCAGCAACGAACGAATGCGCCGATGCACGAGACAATTCCTGTGACCCAGAGGCGCACTGCATAGACACACCGGAAGCGTACATCTGTACGTGTCCAGAAGGTTATCGGGATGTGTCAAGCAACGCAAATCTGCCTCCTGGTCGAGTGTGCACCCTACGTATGAACGTACCATTTTACTGAGACTCTTAGAAACAGCTTTATTTCAGAGACCGTCTGCCCCGCGCAGCCAACCGACCTCATATTTTTGATCGACGGATCAGGAAGCATCGGATCTGAGGTGTTCAAGACGATCATTCTGAAGTTCATTCAAGAGTTTATAACGCTCTTTAACGTGTCCTCTGATCAGACCAGAATTGGCGTCATTCAGTACAGTGACGAAATTCAATCCGAATTCTATTTGTACAGCTACAACACCCCGGACGCAGTTCGCCACGCCATTAGTATGATCAAGTATTTGGGTGGCATGACGAAAACTGGCGC